TGAGCGCTACGAGCTGTGCATCGGGCTCGTCCGTGTTTGGGTGTTGGAGAAACTCTTTGACCAGCTCACCAAAGCTGACTTTGGTTGCCTCGCCCTGCCACGCATGAACATTTGACGCATTATTGACGATTTGGGCCGCAATGGTCGACGGTGGGGGCACGCCATTCGAGTTGCCGTTAGTCACAGGTGGCGGTGCCATCCGCTGAGTCGAGCTCCCGCCTTTGCGGGCCATGATGCACGTTACCGATGTGGCATGTCGGATAGGTAAGGAAAGAGTGAAATCTTGGCAACTGGCTGCTGGCGATGATGCTGGGTCCTTAGACTCAAGCGAGCGTTCGTAGCAGTCTTGACTGATTCAAGATGGTATCGACGGTGGATTCGCCTGATTGGATGCTGGTGGGGTTCCTGTCTGCAATTTCCGGCGTGGCGCTCGTGAGCCTTAAAAGAGTGTCGTCTCGCGTGATTAATACGTGGCTCCGTCTGCAATCGCGCAGTTTGCGATATGATCGGTGGTTTGACGAGTGTGTGGGGTTTGCTAAGAAGATGCATGGGTTTACGTGGACGCGAAATCACGTAGTCACGGGACCGCGCTAAGCCCGATCTCGGGAAAGAGCGCTAGGTACTCCGCAATTCGATATGGAAGCATCGAACCACCCTCACCCAAAGCACTGCGCCCGCAACCTCGAACGATATATACGCCAAGCACGCATACCAACACCCATATCGCACAATTTTGGGTCGAGCACGCCCTAGATCGCAGCCATGCCTGGCCCCTTCACCTCCAAATCCTTCAGCGCCACACTCCCCAACTCGCTCGCCGCAAAGTACCGAAAGTCGCTCCAAAAGCACCCCTTCCTACTCTTCGGCCTACCGTTCCTGTCTACGATACTGCTCGGGTCGTTCATGTTGACTCCCGCCACAGCGCTACGATACGAGCGATACGATCGCAAGAACCAGCAAATCACACATGAACAGGCTATGGGCCTGAGAGGAGAGCGGCGGAAGGTGAACATGAAGGACGAGTATTACGTACGTATACAAGGCAATAAAATGATTGGTAGGGGCTGGACTGACAATCGCGCAGAGGTTACAGGCGAAAGACATAGACGACTGGGAGCAAAGGCGTGTCAAGCGGCTACCGGGCGAGCCAGACGGCACACTTGTATGATTATGCTATGTACATACATCACAGCACCAGACACGGCGTTACGGAAGGCGATTCGCAAAACAAATTCGATACCTCTACACAATACAAACCCCTCTACTCCTTTCGATGCACACGCATCACGTTCGAAAGAGCACAGCTGAGCTGGTCGGGCCGAAGGCACAACGATCGCACTTATACCATGAAAGCCCACGCTGGGAAATACCCAAATACCACAATGTAGTCACTTCGGTCCTGCGTCCTCACCTCGGTCGATTGGAACCGGGTTCAACGAAGCTGTAGTTGAGAGATTACTATCCTGGTGGCCCTGTGAACGTTGAGCTGCCAGGTTATGAGCCTTGAATAACTCGGTTTCCTTTTCGTGGCTCGTCTTTGATCCGTCTAGTCTCAGCCACAATCCGCCATGATACTTGAACGTTCGGTCTGCGCTATCGTAGTGATACCATTGCTTACGGCCTGCGTCCCATGTCCAATAATTTTGATCCATCGCTGGAGTACGCTGAATTGGTTCCGGCTTAATCGTGTCGAGATCGTGCTCCATGTCATCGAGGAGCTTGGCAGCTACGGTGCGTCTGGATAACCCATCTCTGCTCCAACCTTTAGCCGGGTCGATGATTCTCTCCATGAGATGATCAGTTCGGTAAATGTATATAAGGGCATCGCCGCCGATTTGGGTCCCTGCGTAGATTTTCAAGTATGAGTCGATGGCCTTCAATGTTGTCATGATATTGACCCTGCGTCTTTCGAGCTCGTCGCCTATCGACATCAGATGGGAAGCAAGCCAATGTCCCAATAAGCCAGGGTCTTACCAGATGGGTGAAGACTACAGGTGTCGGGATCTCTGAACTTATAGACTAACAGAATCGTCTCAAGATGACGGACTGCATACGTAATTCCGATGCTGAGATTGTGTCGTCGAGTTACATCCATGGTTCTTTCAGTGGCAGTTATGCGGTTCAGAGTAGCTAGAGCCTTTCGATGACTGGAATCGGGGAACAGTTTCGGCGTGCGCTGAATGAAATGAATGAACGCGCTAAGGTACGGTGCAAAGGCTTGGGAGGGTTATGGATGCGCTTTGCTTCCCCGCTTCAGCCTTGCACCTCACGCTCTGAAGCGCCCGACTTGGGCAGCAACAGCATATTCCCATGAGGGACCTCGCAACATCTTCAACGTACCGCGGAACTAACAAGTGTTGACGAGCCAGTTGTGGACCGCCAACGCAACGCTTACTTCCACCTCGCGTCTCAGGCTGAGAAACATACGCTCTCGCGTTCAGACCTTTTGCACAAGCCTCACATGGAGCGCGCCTACGGGGAATTCGTATCGATGTAAGCAGTGGCGCTGCGAGAAGGCTTCGACGGACACACACATATTTCATCAGCTGAACCATTCAAGGTCGCACCGCATGTTGAATACTCGAGTTCCCAGCACGATGCCGTCGCAAATAGCCACCTAGCCGCCGGCTTTTGTTTGATGGGAGTCATCCACGCGATCCCATCAGCATGAGAACTCGACTCACTTTGCACACAGTCTCGCGAATACGTAAAGAATAATTTCAATGCTACTGTATGCTGGAAGCACTGCCGCTGCTCAAAGCTCGGCTTCTTCTGCTCAAGCTAAGACATTTGATGATACTGGTATACCGGCTAGACTGTATGTGGGACTTCATCAAGTAAGATGTACAGTCGCCATTGCTATCAGTGTCTCAGCAGAGGATCTGCAGCTCACCCCCCACTCCAGTTCCCAGCTCGGTAACAGGGGTGTCATCATAAGGGCCCCACTGACAAGGCTGAGATATGCCGGGCCATACCACACAATCCACAGTGTAAGCCAACAATGGATATCAGCTGGGTCTCTTTTGATTGTATGTAACAACATTCTCGGTACTGGTGGTATCAGCTTTATCGGGTGTAAGGAGGAGAAAGTACTGTAAGCGAGAGGGCTTACTGCATGTTGATCGCGAGAACCTCGTGATGATGTATAAGGCTACCTAGGTATGTGTTTCCTACTTTGAAGCTCCTAAGATCTTACATCCTACCGAAAATTAATTTTGGTCGCATTGTTTAGTCTCCGATGACGAACTTCTTTCCAGATGCTCCGCTGCCCTGGGCCAAACGCAAAGCGAAGTCGCCACCACCAAAAAGATACGTTCCAACCACCAAACAGCCGCATGACAAGAGCACAGCCACTCCAAAGCTTTCTTTCGCTTTTTCCGCCGTCTGTATCATGTGCTTGACTGGCCTTATACTTGTTGTCTATTTGTCAGACGGTCGCAGTACCGGGACCTGGATCCCTCGCGTGCCGGCTATTCAGCCTTCGGTCCTCATCTCGTTACTTGCAACACTATTCAACACGTTTGAGTTCTTCATCCTTGCCGATGGCCTAACGATTGTATGGTGGCGCGCTTTCCAGAATGGTGCGACATTGCAAAAGCTTCATTACATCAAGTGGAATGGTGTCAAAGAGACCTGGAGGTCGCTAGGAATTGGCTTTGAAACACGGCGGGTTTTTGCGGTCCTAATGGTTGCCTCCGTAATCAGGATTTATGATGCTCCATTGCTCCAGAGGTCTATCAAGTCAGTCCTCTCAGATCAAATCATCGAGTATGATAGTAGCTGGATGCTTCCGGCTAGTATCCCAGAAGGATGGGCCGGCACAGTGGATGGCACAGCACCTGCTGAACTTTTTGCTACAAACAACCTTGATAGACTTTTGAAAGAGTGGTACACAAACTCAACGATCGGGACTGCTGATGCATGTGGCGGCATCTGCATCGGGCCTGTCATCGGTGCAGGGGTGAGCATTGAATGCTCATCTGACGGCTATGTCGTTGACCTCAAAGATTCTTCCCATGGCCCGCAGTCACTTTTTCAGATCAACTTTCATCGAGGTGCAGACGACTTTGGCTTATCAGTATTAAGCATGCGGCTACTGTATGCCACAGAAACGACTTCGCAATGCCGCGCGATGATGGCCACACAGTCGTGCGATGTGCGCCTGGCTTCCGTCATGTACGACACGATCCAGCAAGGAAGTTCAATTGCTCTTAATCGTGTCAGCTACCCTCAGACTCTGGCGATACAATCAGTCCTTGCAAACAGATCCTCCGTCGACGGTACACCAGCAGATGCGCTTGCAGCTCTCGAATACTTTGGGTATTACTTTCTCCAATCCAACGCCACAGTCTCACGACCGAGCACACCAGGTAATGCTTTCTCTTGGGAGCCCTCAGGTGTTTTACCTCGGCAGTATGCAAACTTCGATTGGAGCCGGCATTGGCCACCTGACAATAATTCGTGCAACTTTCGGTGGGACAACGCCACGGATGATCTGATCTGGGCTTTTCACAATGTGATGTTCAGAATAGCGTATACATCTGCTTCTGGTAAGTAGTGAAAGGCTTCACAAGAGCTGCTCAATCTCCCTCCACAACGAAAGGATCTGACGGAGGCATGTAGGTAATGAGACCGGGCCCGCATTGAAATGGAAAGAGGCAAGTAATGAGTTGAGGTATGATGCAGAATACACAGCGCTTTGGGTTGCCATTGGATCTATGCTGTTCAGTCTATTTTCTTCAATGTCTGCTCTGGGGTTTCTGACAGCTTGACAGAGAAGTTAGCTTGAGTCCTGTCGAGACAGCCCGAGCCCTTGCAGAAGCCGTCCTCCAATCACCTTCAGGTAACCGCGATATGACTATCGATCAAATGTTGGAAGTATTTGGAGATAGGAAGGCCTGGTGAAAAGTGGGCTCGCGAGCACTATTGCGTCATGATAATTCGATAATGAACTAATAGAAAACAACTGTTTCATTCCGCATCAGCCCCTAAGTGCTCTTCTACGTCGTATTACTACTAAAGTTTCCAATGAAGACAATGAGCACAGCACAGTATGCCGCAGTCGCAGCGAAAAGCTCGGCTCGCTTTGCCTTGGTAAGAAGACCCATCGATGCGGAGAACAACAGCGAAAAGACGATCAAGAGCCCTATATTGAGGAAGGTGCTGGAGCGAGTGTTGTTCCATGTTATGCGATACATGATGGAGACAGGTGTAGCCAGGAGGAGGATGATGATTGTGACGATTATGAGGACGGCAAGGCGTTGGACTCGGGCGACGTGGTAGAACCGTAAACGCGCCCGTTCTTCAGGGTCCGGTCCGGTCCTGACGAAGTACTTGTGCGAGATCGTCAGTCATCGATCCGACATCTATACTTGTCGTGATACTTACAGCAACGGCACGTTGGGGCATCTTGTCCATAATTCTCTCGATCCATTCGTCGATATTACTAGAATCACGCCTCGGCTTCAAGATGACGAGATCGTCTCGCATTTTTGTGAACCATTCCTCCTCGTAGTCTGACAAAGGCCTAGTGTAATTGTTCCAGTAGCAGAGGTGGCTACGTTCGCGTTCGCTTGGTCGCTGGAATTCGGCAAGCTCGCGTGTTTTGGTCAGGACATCATCGTATTGCATGAGTTTCTTTTGGATCTCTGCAAGCAGACTGGCGTGTTCGCTGAGACCGGACTGGCATATTGTCGTATCGTTGGGTATATATTCAGATTGAACACCAGACTGGTTTTCTCCTGCATTGACGGACCGGCCAACGTCTGTAAGGTTCTCACGATTTTGGTACTCTAGGCGAGCTATATCTGCGTCCGCACGGCGCGACCTGATTCGATTTCTTTGCTGCTGATCTGCAGACTGTGCATCAAAGTCATCCAATAGTGCAAGGTCGTCTTCAAGCTCACAGAGTTGATCCTGTAGCTCCAATATAACACGCCAGTGGAGATAGTGGAAAGATCGGTAGATGGAGAACTCCGGTTTACTGGATTGAAACGCTGCCAGGCTTGGATATCCTCTAGGGAAGTCTTCGACTGTGTTGGTCAATCTCAGAAGGCTCAGAACTAGGACAGTGTTGCAACATACTGGGTATCGAGTATGGTGCGAGCAATTCTTCGATATAAGAAGGCCTGCTGCGTCGACTAAGCCTCCTACGGTAGTTTACTATCCGGTTCTTCCAGCGTCCTATCGGTGCTGTTGGTCGTAGTCAGAAACCATATTATGTCACATTTGGATTATCTGTAAGAAGCGTGCATATTACTTGTGCGACTCTGCTCACGATATTGCTGATGAAGTGTCGACGGGGGATTATCGTCTGCTTGGATACCAGCTTCCAGATCCACGGTGGCGTAAGGAGTGGGACCTGTATCGGCAGGCTCCATTGTCAAAGTTTGCATATCATACGAATCTGCGCCAGCAAGAGCCATTTTGATGGAACCGAAGAAATTTTGAACTTGTGGACAGTTGGGAAGCAGGTACAGCGTGTGTAAAGAATGAAAACGCTGAAAAGGTAAGCAGGTCCCTCAGAAGTAAGCGGTGACGTTGTGCTGTAAGCCACAGACCAGGCTACAAGAATAGTCGAGGGCGCTTACTAGCTCTGCGCAGACTGTGCATGAGAAACTGGTATACGCTGCATCGTCCTGCAAGGATGACTGCTGCGAGATTATATTATGTCAGCAGATCAGAATGCAATCCACCGGATGCTTCGAATATATAAATCGTTATTACTGTGTGTTTTCGAATTCGTGAAGTCTTCTGAAGCAGGCATTGTTACTATTGCATTTTGCAGGCAACGCTGGAGACGTCGTCCAGCTAACATACCTTCCACCAGAAGGTTCGTTAGACTACGCAATAGGAACCAAAGAAAGAACACGCTCATGACCGCTGTAAATGCAATACAAAACAACTCGCTCGAACGCTTCGTTACAAAAGACAGACAGAGAACAACAAATTAAGCCTCCGAGATGCAGTCGAGGAACGACGGTATGCATGGTCGTGAGATGGGACGCGGAAAAACGAGAGCTAGGAAAACGCGAGCGGGTGTCCTCATACGAATCTAGTCGTGATAACGCCCCGCTGAGAAAAGAAATATGATGATGGAAGGTACGAACAAGCGTACGCCCAAGACGAAGAGCCGAGTTGAGGTAGATGTTAACAACACCTGCCACTCTTGCTCTTCTGCGCGCGGTTGATGTCTTCTTCCCAATCTTGCTGATGTCCAGCGACGTTGGGTGTAGTAGGGAAGCCCAGCCAGCTTCGCCTCTTGTCGCCAGTGCCTAAGCGGAAGCTTCCATTACCCGTTCCAGGGTAATCAAAGTATCCAGCGACATTACCGTTGTTGTCCATGGCTGGTGTCACCCCAGCCATGGCGTACTGCCGTTGTTCTTCCTCGAGCTTCTTCTGCTGCTGTTCCACGAGCTTGCGGGTGATCACGCGAAAGACTTCGTCTACACCCTCGCCATCTTTGGCGCTGATCTCATGACAACAGTCCCAGCCCAGGTCTTGTCCCCAGAAGCCGCTCGATCGGTTGCTCTGTGGCGACGCCATACCGCTGTGGAAGGCTGCCGGTACAGAGCCCCAACCGCTTGCTGCAGCACTGTGTGGTTGACCGGTTTGTGTGGGATGGAGGTTCTCGGCGACGTATTCGATGCAGCGCTCGAAGGGCACTTTTCGCTTGGTAGGGTCTTCGGCTACGACGTCTGACTTTGTTCCTACCACATGGAGGATCACGTCCTCTCCGAGGTTTGTCTTGAGTTCCTTGAACCAGCGGCCCATTTCCTCGAACGAATATGGATCGGTGATGTCGTAACATAATACCGCAGCGTTTGCGCCTAGAAGAAAATGTTAGTTCTGCGCTGAACGTTTGCTCATAGTAGAGGATCCGAACTCGACTGCCGAATGTGGGGTATCCAGATAGCGGAAAGAGACCCGATGTGTATCGCGACAGAGAATACTAGTTAATTCGACGAAAGGAACAATACTAACGTACCCCTATAATACAGCTTGGATATGGACCGGAAGCGCTCCTGGCCTGCGGTATCCCATATCTGTAACCGAACCACTGTGGAGGTGTCGATATCCACAACCCTCTTCGTCAAGAAGGAAGCACCCACGGTGGACTGTGTCGTGGGAGGTGTAAAAGCGTTTTTGACATATCGGTGGACGAGAGAAGTTTTTCCAACTCCTTGGCTACCGAGGACCACGATCTTTGCTTCCAGGCTGTTGGACATATCGCCGTATTGCGCCAAATCTATTTGTATACGTCGGTGTTGGCGGTGCAGGGATGGGGCGGCAGGCGGTGTTGTGGGGTCGGCTCAGATATGCGCGGTCGCGGTGCCTCGGAGCAAGAAAGAAAGGAAATGCGTGGGAGGCGGCGGGAGAACAAGTTGCATGGCGAGCAGTGAGAAAGAGTCGCCGGCAGATGTGAGAAGAGGCAGAGGATTGACGTAGAGGGTATCTGAGAATATTAGGCAGGAGGTGAGTGCCCGAATGACAGCCCAGCTGCGTTTGGCGCTTGCACCGATTCTCTTGGCTAGGGGAGCCATGTGACAGGCGCCTTAAGCCAATGTGAATCAGATCTGAGAAGGGTGCGTCCCAGATGGGAATATGAATGCCCATCGTGATCGCAGCCCTGGGGACTGATAATCATCCAGGGGATGACGCGCCATGTTGATGCTGTGTGTCGGGCAGTCAACAATGCACGTCATGCCCAGCCAGCTGTCGTCTTCCCCGCGTTTCGGAGCAGCACGGAGTCTTCCACGCGACCGACGAAAACGTTATTACCTACCCCAACTAAGCTCCCTCAACGAACGACAGTCCCTGGCAGACACATATATCCTCAAGAAAACCGCCTGCGAAGGACCGAGACGGGATGCCTAATGCGACAAGCCCGGAATCGATCTCGCCTCGAACTCAAGGGCTAGGGTGCTAACTCAGATGCGTCACCGCGACCAGCATCCGAAGCCCGCGGGGATGAATGTACCGAGCTATTACCCCAAACATGCTGCCGTCACCAACCTGGCCCTTCCGCTCGTCCAAGCCCTCTAGTGTCTGGAAATAACCTAGACCGGCTCCATATATTTTCTGGCCTATCTTCGCGTCTTGATTACCTGCCCTTTAACATTTCGCGCTCGACACACCGCCGCCACGATGAACCACGACAGCAACAACACCCAGAAGGTGAAGCTCACCGGCGAGCAGGTCGCCCAGCACAACAACGCCGAATCATGCTGGGTCATCATCCACGGCCGCGCCTACGATGTTACCGAGTTTCTGCCTGAGCATCCCGGAGGCCAGAAGATTGTCTTGAAGTATGCTGGCAAGGACGGCACCGAAGCATTCGAGCCGATCCACCCGCCCGACACGCTCGACAAGTATCTCGACAAGTCCAAGCACTTGGGCGAGGTGGACATGAACACCGTCAAGGAAGAAGCGAAGGAGGTCGATCCAGATGAGGAAGCGAGGCAAGAGCGCATTGCGCGCATGCCCATCTTGGAGCAATGCTACAACCTGATGGACTTCGAGGCCGTCGCGCGCAAGGTCATGAAGAAGACGGCATGGGCATACTACTCCAGCGGTGCCGACGATGAAATCGTAAGACTATTTCACCGACTGCCACTATTTGAGCTGACTCTTCGCAGACACTACGCGAAAATCACAGCGCATTCCACAAGATCTGGTTCCGACCACGCGTACTCATCGACGTCGAGAAGGTCGACATGTCCACCACAATGCTCGGCACCAAAGTCGACATCCCCTTCTATGTCACCGCGACAGCGCTGGGCAAGCTCGGTAACCCAGAGGGAGAAGTCGTCCTTACGCGCGGCGCTCACAAGCACAACGTTGTCCAGATGATACCAACACTAGCGTCATGCTCGTTCGACGAGATCATGGACGAAGCAAAAGACGGTCAAGTCCAATGGCTGCAGCTATACGTAAACAAGGACAGGGAGGTCACAAAGCGCATTGTGCAGCACGCCGAGAAGCGCGGCTGCAAGGGTCTCTTCATTACCGTCGACGCACCGCAGCTCGGTCGTCGCGAGAAAGACATGCGGAGCAAGTTCGACGATGTCGGCAGCAACGTCCAGAGCACCGGCGGCGACAATGTGGATCGTAGTCAAGGCGCCGCACGAGCCATCTCGTCCTTCATTGACCCGAGCCTCAGCTGGAAAGATATCCCGTGGTTTAGGAGCATTACCAAGATGCCCATTATTCTCAAGGGTGTGCAATGTGTTGAGGATGTTATCCGCGCCGTCGAGGTTGGTTGCGATGGTGTTGTCCTTTCCAACCACGGTGGTCGTCAACTCGATTTCGCTCGCTCGGGTGTCGAGGTACTCGCAGAGGTTATGCCAGTTCTTCGCGCACGCGGCTGGCAAGATCGCATCGAAGTGTACATCGATGGCGGTATTCGACGTGCGACAGACATCATTAAGGCTGTTGCACTCGGCGCCAAAGGTGTAGGCATCGGCAGGCCTTTCCTATACGCCATGTCGGCATACGGTCTGCCAGGTGTCGACCGCGCTATGCAGCTACTGAAGGATGAGATGGAGATGAACATGCGCCTCATTGGTGCTTCAAGCATTGCGGACCTGAACCCCTCGATGCTTGACACAAGAGGGCTCAGCATGCACACTGCTACCGTACCTCACGACACTCTGGGTATGAATGTCTATGACCCGCTCATTGGACCTCAAGAGAGTGTTGTCAAGGAGAAGTCTAAGTTATAGAGGAGCTTGTGATTGTATTGTATATATCTCTAGGCGCACCTGGGCAACACATTTCTTCAAATATGATCGATCGATACTTACAGCGAGATGCCGTCTTTGACCAAGTCAAAACCTATTTGAACTAGCCACCCCTCCAACATGTGCCATCATTCACAGCTCTGCGCTATCAAGTATGCCCATGTGGCATCCTTTGTCCGCATCGTGACTACGCGTAGACGCGTTCGGCGAGTGGGGAAGGAGCACCCGGTGGACCTTCCGATCGTCAAGCGTCCTTGAACCACGGGTCGCTCTTTCCACTTCAATCGCAGCACGCCTCGACCATTCACATTATCGCACCTTACTATATCACATATCCCCGCCTTTGAATCGCCTTCGCATCACCGCTTTTACTTTTTGATTATATCTTAATATTATTCCATGGGTGCTCCTGACGTTGCAGCGCAGCCCGGCGCTGGCTGGGACGAAGCGCAATGCACAGCAGCCCTCGCACACTTGGAGCAGCTCCAGGCGCAGGTGAGAATAGCATACCACCTTCTCTGGATGATTTATGTTAATATGCGACAGATCAGCGACATGCGCCTAGCCATCCCCCGCATCATCGAGCCCTTCCACCGCCCTCGCAGTTCCACGACGTATAAACTCTACGCCGACGGCGTACTCGGTTCTCAGAAGAACCTCGATGCACTCAAGAGCCAGTGGAAGTCACCAGAAATTCAAAGCACGTTCGAACACGTCAAGCAGAGCCTCGGCGCAAATGCGGATCTGTCAGAGAGCGTCTCGATACCTTCTCATGGCTGGGCGGAAAGAGCGCGGAAAGCCAAGGAGTCGACAAAGAGTCAGGGAGGGGAGAATAAAGATGATACCGGTGCTATCGTCACTGACGAGGATATCGAGAGGATAGTGGTGGAGTTTAGGAAGGCGCATCCGAATCTCAAAGTCGAAACACTTGATGAGGGTCGCAGCATCCAAACACGCTTCGTAGCCGGTTCTCTCATGCTGAAGTTCCGCGTCGGCATCGAGCGTGATGCAAACGGACGACATAAACTCAACGCAGAGTGTTTAGGGACAACTGAGCCCTTTTTGGCTATCACAAGATGTATTGCATCACGGTCAAATCCAGATGATTTGAAGTATCTGTTGGTATGTACATGGGATTGTGTGGCATGGAAATGTTTTGGGTGGATGCTAATAATTACAGGATATGATTGCTGCGTACAAGACTGTGAAAGGAACGTCGTGTGCTAAATGCGGGAAACTTCTGGATAACTCGGCGTTGACGCCTACTGCGAGGCGAAGTAAACAAGTTGCCGTCGGAAACGAAAGTCCAGATACGGTCTGGGTGGCACTCCACGAGGCTTGCATTGAGTAAATCCAGATGGCACTCACGTCGATCTAGTGCGAGCTCATCTCACATAGGGGGCGGGATGTGAAAGAATGGCTCCCCCTGGCCAAACTCGTTGTCAACATCACCACCCCATCTTCGCGGCAGATACTGCATATCATGATGCCACTGGCCGAACACGTTTCTTATCGCCTGGGGGTAACAGTTCCATTCGCTGTTTCCGTATGGCTCTGGTTGCCAGATAGCATCTGTCCACATATCCAGGCTTGGCTCTGTGTACTGTCGAGTCCGGAAGTCGTAGCACTTGTCTTTATCTCGTCCACCGAGCATGCTGTCTTGGGTCCACGGAGCGAATTTCGAGCTATTAAAGCCGAAAGGATGACGTCCGAATCCGGGCTGATGGCCATATCCCGCCCATTGATTTTTGTGTGGACGATTGGACACGCAATCCGTCTTGCGAGCCCCAAACGCAACGTACATGTCCGGGCCCTCGTTTTTGAATATATCCTTGAGGCGTCCACGAAATGAGCCATTCCTTCCGTCCTTTGGCCATATAAATGCCTTTGATGGTTTGACATTATGGAGCTTCCGGCCATCTTGGTACCATCCTCGCCAGTACGGTTCACGAACGTATCGAGCTGCTTGTGGTTTCGATCCGCACTTCCGCCCGGTTTCCGTGAAGTAGGGAGGTCTCGGCAGAATATCAGGCATGTTGAAGATGTCTTAGTAAAGGGTCTGTTTCCTTCGAGGGAAGTATAGTATCTTTAGCGATGGACAACCGCCTTTGTAGAGATGATACTGTCAGTCGTTTGCTAGCGAAGATTGCAGATACGAGATAGTTATACACAGTATGGCAGAGATGGAGCGTGTGTATAGTCGTTTGGGTGCCGCTACTACCTAGCATACAAAGTTTTATATTATTCCGTCATGCACCCGCTTCCATTTGGCTCATCTTTGGACTGTCAGGCGTGGCCTTGCGCCTGCTGTATCAACTTTCCAGCAAGCATGTAAACCCCACTCTTACCAAACTGAGGTGAAGCATCTAACGTGACTGAGATCATATTTCAATCTAATGATGCTTTGAGAAGATAAGATGGTACTAGTCCTTTCACACGACGCGGTACCTGAAAGACAGGGATCGCGAGGGTCCGAGCTCTCAAGCTTGAACAACGCGATCTCGTTTCTCCAGGTTTGTTTTCGGGACCATCAACAACACCGCCCAATACACCACCATGTCGCTTTTCGGCAATCTTGGAGGCTCGCAGCCCGCCTCTACTGGCGCATCCGGTGGAGGACTGTTTGGAACAGCAACCGGCGGATCAGGCGGTACCGGATCAAGCTTGTTTGGCAATCTGGGCGGAGGTACTTCGAATGCGCAATCTGGTACGACACAGGCACCAAGCTCTGGAGGCTTAGGAGGCGGACTTTTCAGTGGATTGGGCGGAGCAAAGCCACCTACGACCACGACATCCTCGCTGTTCGCTGGCGCCGGATCGACTTCGCAGCCGCAAACACAAACGCAACCCAGCAGCCTTGGGCTGTTCAACAACACGGCGTCGCAATCAACAACCAACAACGCGCAACAAACGAGCGGTTTCGGTCAATCGTCTCTCTTCGGCGCTACCTCGAACCAGCAGCAACCCCAACAGCAGCAGCAGCAGCAGCAGCAACAGGGCACGTCACTGGCCCAGGCAAACGCTGGCACCGGTCGCTCAGCCCACTTCGATAATCTGCTCGAGCGAGGGCGAAAGCGCAATGCTGGCGAGAATGGCACGACCAACTTCGACGAGCTGCCGTCCCTGCAGTTGGGCCTTGGAGACATCGCACGCAAGGTGCGCAACCTGGGCGCTGGCGGTCCCTCAGCCGATCAGGTCCAGGACCGCGCACAGGATCGCGCTGCGTAAGTTGAATCTGAATGCGACGTCTGACCACGTGCTGACTGCTTCCAGACACTACCTACTCTCCGCCTCAGGCGTGAAGATGGGTAGCACCCTCCGCGATCTCAACCAATTCTCTTCGCAGGCCGGACTCGCTGCACCTGGTCAGGCACAGAACCTCTTCGATAACGACGTTGACGGCTACATCTCGAACCTGCACTCGCAATCAACTCTGGCGCTTATCCAGGAAGGACTCGAGCAATCCAAGCGCGACTTCGACACGTTCCTCGAGGACAATGTTCAGATTGAATGGGACAAGCAGAGGCAAAGGATCTACGAACACTTTGGGCTTGGCCGACAGAGCGAAGACATGGCAGCATCTCAGAGCGGCGCATTCGGCAGCACAGCTCGCGGAGCTTTTGGACGCGCGACTGGGCGCAAGGGCCGTTCCATGGGACCCAACGGTGCATCTGTCAACGGACGATCAACCTTTGGAGCCTCTGCTGCTGGACCGCCCGTTCTCGGTGCTTCCCAGAGCGTTCTTGGTGGACGCGATTCTTCCGACAAGTCAGTCATGGGCGGACAAGCTGCTCCTCAGGATCGATACGCTCGTGACAAACAAGAGAAGTTTATGGAAGAGGTCAAGAAGCTCAACGAGTCCAGGCTGCGGGAGAGTACATTCTCGGTACTCCATGCGTTCTCTGATGTAGAGAAGGCTGCCGGTACAGAATACTCGGACCATTTCACACGCGCCTACGGAACGCTCATCTCCATCACCGGCGAGAAGACCGAACTCGAGGCATCCAACCCTGGCTCGAACCAACCGAAGGAGCGAAGTTTCGCCAGAGACTACCTGGACGAACAACCAAACTCTGCTGCTAGCGTTCGCATGCGCAAGCGTATACTCGACGGGTCTCGAAAGTACCTGGAAAGCAGGTTCTTGGAGCAGGTGGAAGACGTCCTACGGAGAAATCCCGCAGAAGCGCTCGTTGGTGGTGTTCCATCGATGCTCAACAAGATCCGAGGCTTCGTGAGAGCAAAGGCTGCATTCAAGGAGCTTGGCGCAGACACTGAGCTATTTCAACGGATAGGCGAAGCTGGTGAAGAGTTTCCCTGGATCATCATATTCTTCCTCCTGAAGGGTGGTCTGCTTACCGAGGCTGCTGAATATGTACGAGAGAAGAGGAACTTCTTCCAGAACACCGACCGAAACTTCCAGGCGGCGATATCCCAATACGCCAGCGATCCAGACCGAAGACTGAACCCCGATACGCAACAGAAGGTCGCTCACACACATGCCCAGAGGACCCGCTTGAAGACGCCAGAGGACCCTTACCGAATGGCTTGCTACAAGATCGTTGGTCGATGTGATATGAGCAAGCGCAACCTTGAGCCAATCCGGGAGAACATGGACGACTGGGTATGGCTGCAGTTCAACCTGGCCCGCGAGGGTAACCGCGCTGAGGAAAATGCCGGCGAGATCTTTGGCTTGGAAGAACTGAGAACAGTCATCAAAGACATCGGCCAGCGCCACTTCATGAACGACGACGCTGAATCATCGGGCGGCTATGGAGTTTACTTCTATCTCGCCACGCTGGCTGGCCTGTTCGAGCCAGCTATCAACTACCTGTACACCCACAACTATGTCTCGGCGGTTCACTTCGCGGTTGCTCTAGACTACTACGGCCTCATCCGCGTGTCGGACTGGACAACTGCAGGTGGAGAGATCATGACCTTCACTACGCGACAACAACCACAGCTCAACTTTGGACGCATCGTCGGCCATTACACAAGCGACTTCCGTGCTGCACGAGCTGATGCTGCTGCTGACTACTTGGTGCTGATCTGCATGAATGCGGATCTACCGGGTGAAGCAGGCCGACAACAGGCAGAGCTATGCCATGAAGCTCTTCGCGAACTTGTTCTTGAGACGCGCGAGTTCTCTACCTTGTTGGGTGACGTCAAATCCAACGGTGAGACGACACCAGGTCTCATCCAGGAACGCGTGCCTTTGCTCAAGCTGGACGGCGAGATGGGCCTGTTGAACACCATCACTAGTGAAGCCGCGAGAATGGCAGACGATAACGGACGCATCAACGACGCCATTCTACTCTGCCATCTTGCTGGCGAGTATGACAGTGTCGTAACGATTCTGAACCGCGCGCTAGCTGAGGCACTCTCTGTAGAACTCGGCCAAGAGCCTCTCCGCCTGGAGCCGTTGAAGCCGCGTCTGACAGCTGCGGAGTCACAACAGCAGCAACAACAACGAACCGATCTGACTTCGTCGAGCTTGAGTATGCTGGGAACAGATGATCCCGTCGAGCTCGCGCAGAAGGTTCTTGCGTTGTATGACGCGAACAGCCTGTGGTGGAGGAAGGTGTCGCAGATGAACCGTGACACAGTTGGAATACTATTCCAGCTTAACAACGCGAAGAAGATCATCGAAGCCGGCGACTTCATGGCGGCACTCGGCGTAAGTTCTTACTTCTTTACTCATGACCAGTCACTAACATCCCGCAGCAAATCGAGAACCTCCGCATTCTTCCTCTGTCAGCCAACGGAAATGTCAGCGACATCCGTGCCACCGCCAACAGCTTCAACTCCTACCCACAAGAAATCTCGCGCAACATTGGCAACGTTCTTCTCTGGTGCATCGGCTGCTGCTCGAGACATCGTGAGCGTCTTCTATCCGGACAGTTCGAGGACAAGATGCGCAAGGTTCTCGCTGATCAACTTCTGCAGAAGGCAAAGGACCTCATGGTCTTTGCTGGTTTGATCAAGTACAAGCTGCCACCAAGGGTGTTTGAGACGCTGGCTAGGGAGGGTCAGGAGGTTGGCGCTTTCTAGAGCTGAGGTGGTAACGATAGATGTTTGCAGGTTGGAGTCTCTGGATTTGGTAATGCAGTCATAGCATGCGCTTGGAAACGCTTGGGTTCGTGAGGACAAGGTGATTGAGCATCTGCACAGCGATTGGGCACGTTTGGCTTGACATAGAGTGATACCAATAAATCATTGTAATTCGCGGCCAATCGTACCTCCCTGTGATCGTGATGCTGGGACGCCTTCGCCGGAAGAGGCCGCGTGGGGTGATGGCTAAGAAGAACATGTCACAGTAGTGGTACGGTCACTGTGGCGCAGGCGATGTCTCACCATCTTGGCCATTGTTGGCATGCAACTACCACCAATTCAAGCAACGAAAAGGTCGTCCGATGCCAGGAACGTGCCGGTGGCCGGTGTTGGAGTTCGCCAGACGATCCTTCGAGGCTCGGGCTGATCGGCGGAGTGGTGTGACCCCACTTGACGGACCGGGGAGCTCTTTTCTTTTGGAGCTCCCACGTCATATGCGCGCGACGCCGCGACCCATGCTCCGACTCCCATCACCTTATCGCCAGTTTGAGTAATACCTACAACTGTTGCCTATGATACATAAACACTACGTAGAGGTCATCTAATCACCAACTAATCGTATTACCTCTGCTACTCACAACCACCCAGGACTCGGCAAAGCTACCCCTCCAACCACCGTTGAGACCTGAATCTTCCCAACACGTAGGGACCCGCTTCTTCTCGGCGTCTTAACTTTTCCAACTAGACAGGTGAATCCACATTGACCTCATACTGACCCACGGCCAAATATCTCTTCGGACCTTCGCATCCAGCTGCGACTACCTTCAGCCTCCACTTACTACCTCAACTTCAACCTACACCTCTCACCCCGCCTAATACCCCAAACAACAATACCCAGACTCACAACATGGCGCCCACCGAGATCCCGCCGCCCCTCGATGGCAAGAAGAGGCGCATTGGAGTCATGACGAGCGGAGGTGACGCGCCCGGCATGAACGGAGCGGTACGCGCTGTAGTGCGTATGGCGATTCACAACAACTGCGAGGCCTTCGCTATATACGAGGGTTACGACGGTCTGGTCAAGGGCGGAGACATGATCAAGGAGATGCACTGGGAAGACGTCAGAGGTTTCCTGTCAGAAGGTGGTACCCTCATTGGCACAGCACGATGCATGGAGTTCATGCAGCGCGAAGGCCGCCGGACGGCCGCGAAGAACATGATCATCAAGGGTATCGACGCGCTAATCATCTGCGGTGGTGATGGATCCCTCACAGGTGCTGACAAGTTCCGCGCGGAGTGGCCAGAGCTGCTGAAGGAGCTGGTGGAAGAGAAGCAGCTCACACAGGACCAGGTTGAGCCCTTCAAGCACCTGAACATTGTTGGTCTCGTCGGCTCCATTGACAACGACCTTTCCATGACCGACGCTACCATCGGCTGCTACACCTCGCTCGGGCGTATCTGCGAAGCCATCGACTCGGTCGACACCACCGCCGTCAGCCACCAGCGTGCTTTCGTTATCGAAGTTATGGGTCGACACTGCGGTTGGCTCGCACTCAGCGCCGGTGTCGCGACAGGCGCAGACTTCGTCTTCACACCCGAGAATCCACCAAGCGAAGGCTGGCAGGAACAGATGTGCAAGCAGATCAAGAAGCAGAGACAAATGGGCAAGCGGAAGACCATCGTCGTTGTCGCCGAGGGTGCCATCGATCGCAACCTGAACAAGATCACCTCAGAACAGGTCAAGGACATTCTGGCGAAGGAGGCGAAGCTCGACACACGAGTGACAACTCTCGGACACGTCCAGCGTGGAGGTACACCCTGCGCCTACGACCGTATGCTTGCGACACTCCAAGGTGTTGAAGCTGTCAAGGCGGTGTTGGAGGCTACCCCCGACACGCCCAGCCCGGTCATCTGTATGCAAGAGAACAAGATCGTCCGACGGCCGCTCCTCGAGGCGGTTGCACAAACCAAGGAAGTCGCTGTAGCCATCGAGAACAAGAACTTCTCCAGGGCCATGCAGCTCCGTGATACCGAGTTCGAGCAACAATACCAGGCCTACCAAATCACCACCGCACAAGATCAGCCAGACCTTCTATTACCAGAGAACAAGCGCATGCGCGTCGGCATCATCCACGTCGGAGCCCCAGCTGGAGGTATGAACGCAGCGACCCGTGCTGCGGTTGCACACTGCATTGCCCGCGGCCACACACCAGTCGCGCTCCACAACGGTTTCCCTGGCATAATCCGCCACCACTCCGATGAGCCAGTGGGTGCGGTGCGAGACATCAAGTGGATTGATGCTGAGACCTGGGCTTCCAAGGGTGGATCTGAGATCGGAACAAACCGCGGGCTCCCTAGTGAGGATCTCGAGACTGTCGCGTTCGTCTTCAAGAAGTTCAACATCCAGTCCCTGTTCGTTGTTGGTGGTTTCGAAGCATTCACAGCTGTCTCGGAGCTGAGGAAAGCACGAGAGTACTACAAGTCTTTCAAGATTCCTATGGTAAGTGCATCTCCTGATAACGTTGTTTCAATTCCAAGATGAGTAATATGCTAACTCGACTTTAGGTCATTATTCCTGCCACCATCTCGAACAACGTCCCCGGAACAGAGTACTCCATCGGTTCAGATACCTGCCTGAACGCCCTCATTCAATACTCCGATGCCTGCCGTCAATCGGCATCAGCATCTCGTCGCCGTGTCTTCGTCATCGAGACTCAAGGTGGTGAATCAGGCTACATCGCAACAGTCGCCGGTCTCAGTATCGGAGCTATGGGCGTATACACTCCCGAAGAAGGCATCAGCCTCAAGATGCTCGACCGCGACATTGACCACCTCCGCGAGGTCTTCAAGAAGGACAAGGGTATCAGCAGGTCTGGTAAGGTAATCCTCGTCAACGAAAAGGCATCCAAGACCTACAACGTGCAAATCATCGCCCAAATGATCGCGGAAGCCGGCCAAGGCAAATTCGAATCCCGCCACGGAGTACCCGGTCACTTCCAACAAGGCACCATCCCCTCGCCCATGGACCGTGTCCGAGCCGTCAGGTTCGCCATCAAGGCCATGCAACATCTCGAAAACTACGCCGGCATGGACCCCGACGAGATCGAAGACGACTCCATGTCTATCAGCGTCATCGGTATCAAGGGCAGCAAGCTCCTCTTTTCCCCCATGGAGCAAGTCGAGAAGAGGGAGACGGAATGGCACCGTCGCCGCCCCAAGCATGAGTTCTGGATGGCGCTCAAGGAGACGGTTGATACGCTTAGTGGCAGGCCTCAGGCGCCTGTCAACCCGGATGATATCGCTACGTTGGCTGGACGGCCGAGAGCTACGAGCAAGGCTTATGGGTATTAAGGTGTGGGGGCGCGGGTTTTAGGGATTGTGACGACGGAGTTATGATTATGAAGTATTTGTAGATAGATGGATATGGCTTTCCTATGATAATGACTTTGGAATGACAAACGATTAACACTCATCACCAGTACCATGGGACGGTTCGCTTAAACAATGGTTTGCCGGGGTTCGTAGGGATGGTCGAATCCATACCTAGGTACTCAACCATGGTAGCCAAGTATGACTCTACTGTGAAGACAGTACTAGGGAACATCTTTTCCCTCCAAGACTTCTGTATTCACGATCCAAGACCACGGACATTTACCAAATCGCGGCTGAGCTGAACTTCCACTCGCACACTTGAACCGGAATTGACGCCGAACAATTTCAGCACACAACCCCCTAACTACTCTAGCTGCGGTAAGCTCCCAACCGCAGCAGTACGAGTCACGATGAGCGAATTCCAGTACGGGCTCAAGGATAAGTTCCTCACCAAGGAGGAACTCTACGAATTTCGTTTCCTCACAACTGTACTGGCCTGGACGAATGCTCTTGAGAGGAAGGCCACGGTCAGTACGAATACTACCGATTCCGGGCATTCAAACAACAAGCTATACCCGTTCGCAGAGAAGCTTACCAACTTGTTGGTCCGTGATGTGGAAGTTGTCGCCGTGACAGCATCAGACGCAGGAGAGATCCTGTTCCAAACCGTGTGCGATGACAGCAGCGTATTGCTCACAGAAGATGATACTGCCTCTGAAGCGGAAGAAGAGAGCGAGCCAGGTCCTGCAGCGGCTGTTGGGTATGTGCAGAGCCTCTGCAATGAACTGCGAAGCAAGACGTTGAACGAGCAAGAGCATCACCCTGCCCTACAAGTCCATATTCCATTGACTACTGCCGATGATATGGGAGACTCAATCGGCTGTTGGTTGCTTTCCAAGACAGAGAGACATCTGGAAGGAGTGACGCATCCCCGGACAACTGTCAGTTTCTCTCAGCATGCAGCCAATCTCGTGCACTTGATCAAGGCGACCTACGAACAAACATCAAAGGGTACAACTGCATTGGCCAGAGACCAGTTACGTAACTACGTGCTCTTGACCTCGACCGCCAAGATAGCTTCGCGCATCCAGAAAGGCAGCAAAGACCGCAACTTTTACGACTATCTAAGCAAGCCTGGCGGTGACCTTGATGACTTTATGCTGCAGGAAGGTTACCACTTCAGGTCAGTGCTTCTGGGTACCGCCCGCGATGTTCTCTTCTAAAACTTTACCGAAATCCAGCGGAAAGTGATCGTTGCAACGATCTGGAACTTCGGTCATCAGCCAATGCAGACAGACTGCCCTGCCGTACTCAAGAGGCACTGGAAAACACCCGAAAAATCATCAAACCACTCACCCAGTTCAAGGACCTCCTGAACACCGGCGAATCGACTGTCTACAACCAACATACTGCTAGTCTTTTGCAGGACGTTCTTAGTGCTGTGCTCGACAACCTAGTTGCCTGCTTCGAGTGGCTCGCAGCTGCAGTGCGAAGATCACAATTTTTCAAGAGCAGCAATTACGACGCACTTCCAGGAAGTCCCGCAAGCGACGAAATTGCACTCGCAGGTCACTATTTCGATCATCTTTCGAAACAAGCAGGTCTCTGGCTTGATGTTTTGACACAGTTCAAGAAGACGTTCCGCAAGTACTTGTATACAAACCTAGGGCTTTTGAGAAAGGTTCACATGATAAAGAATGCAATGAAGACCGGCGACATTGCTCAAGATACCGAAGGCCTCCTTGGATCCTCGACCCCACTTGAAAAGCAACAAACGATCGACCCCGAGTTCGAGCAGCTCGACTCTCTTGCCGAGAGACAGCAGTGGGAGCACGCAGCAATGGCATGGCTGGATCTGATATGTCTACACTAGACAGCGATCCTGGATCTCCGGAGTGAAGGCAGCCAGGCACCCCGCAACAAAGTTCTCAGAACCTACTTGCAGCAAGCGAAGTTCCAACACTTTGAAACTCGTCAAGAGCACCAGGACAGGAGATTGATCATAAAGGGTCATCTGGAGAACTTCACATTGCTATCTGGAGAGAAGCTCACAACGGACGAATGCCAAAAGATCAGAACATGGCTGCTAAGAAATGGCGATGGCTACTCCGCGAAGTTTGAAAACGAAGAAGCAGAAGCTACAAACTTCACCGGTACCTACCACTGCGAAACTGTCCTACTGAGTCTTGCCTTACTAGCCAAGAAGCGGGCTGATATCCTAGACGTCGATATCAATTCCGCGTCTGCACCACTAAGCAAGGCTCACCTGCAGCTCCCTAGTAAAACAACCACGGATGCACTAAAAGGTAAGATGAGCGCCCTACCAGTATCGCAGAAGTGCTGTCCTGCTTGTCATGCGCTAGTCGAATACTTCATTGAGAATGCAAACCCAGCTCTGGTATACCCGGGCAAGCATGAGGTATGGTCAGCGGCAGCACTTCCACCGTGGATTCCAAGGGAAGCGGGTCAGGTAGTTCTGCGAGCTGCCCGGAAGGCACTGCGATGTCGGTTTGACAGCATACTGCGAGGCTGAGCTTGACTCTTGTATGAAGCGCGATGGGCGTGTTGTATCGTAGAGGTAGTATCGATTAGCAAGAATTAATATGATTGTAATCGCTTGGGTCTTGTCTGCTAGAGTGTTGGTTGTGTTGTCACAATAGTGTAGTTGTCGCGGTACTGTAAGCTATCGCAGTACTGTAGTTGTCGCAGTAGTGTAGCTGTCGCAGTATTGTAAGCTGTCACACTTTTGCAGCTGTCGGAGTAACGTAGTTGTCGCAATGTTGTGGTTGCTGGCAGAGCTAATAATTTAGAAAGATGCCGTTTAATTGGACTCGCGGACGAGTCGGACGGATTCTGCAGAATCTTAAAATGCTGTACCTCGACTTGACGTGAACGAGTTTAACGCACCTCTAAGTGAATATCGTTGACTTCCATCCTGCGAATGTTACGACCACGAATTTCTGACACGGCAGACGGGCAGTGTCTGACAAGAAGCTGACTAATATGACGTACCCCTCCAACACGAGCACAACCTTTCTGATCCGTCCCGACATGTGAACTTAACCCACCCAAACAACAGTCAAGATGAGTGAATTCAAAGAAATGGTCGTTATTCTTACCGGAGCTTCTCGAGGTATGTATCTATTCACTAAATTCTCCATCACCTCGCTTTCTGTTCTAGTCAAATATGCATTACACTTCCGTGGTTTGCAAACCTCCCAGACGTGTAAAAAAAAGCTACACGTGCAAGCGTAGTCAACACCAACGCAGACTCTCATACCGCCAATTCCCTTACTAATCCACTCTCGTAGGCATCGGCCAAGCCATTGCGCACCACCTCCTCTCGCGGAACCACAAAGTCGTCCTCGTCTCGCGTACTGAATCGGCTCTGTCTGCCCTTCAATCCCAATATGGGAACGAGAAAGTAGCTGTACTCGCTGGCGATATGGCGGATGCTTCGCTCCCGCAGAAAGCGGTTGATATGGCGAACGAGCGGTGGGGACGCATTGATTCGCTGATTGTAAATCACGGAACGCTAGATCCGGTGAAGAAGGTGGCGGATAGTAGTGCGGAGGAGTGGAGGAAGGGGTTTGATGTTAATGTTTTTAGTGCGGTTGGTATGGTGAGTTGAAGTCTCGTTCTGTTGTATTCATTTCTCCTTCTATCGACGATACTTACTCAGATTTTCAACATCGGCATTACTTATCCTGGCCTCATGCAACAAACTAACTCCCTGCTCTTTCTAGGTCCAAGCTGCCCTCCCCTCCCTCCGCAAAACCTCCGGCACCATCCTCCTAACCTCCTCTGGTGCCGCAACTTCCGCCTACCAAGGCTGGGGTTGCTACGGTGCGGGAAAAGCTGTGCTGAACCACCTCGCCCTCACGCTCTCGGTTGAAGAACCGTCCATTACTACCATTTCAATCCGTCCCGGTGTTGTAGACACAGAGATGCAGCGCGAGATCCGCGAAGTGCACCATGAGCGCATGAGCGAGAAAGACAGGACCAAGTTCAGTGGATTGAAGAAAGAAGGTGGATTGTTGAAGCCCGAGCAGCCGGGATATGTTATGGCGAGATTGGCTGTGGCGAAGGGTGAGGATGTAAAGGGGTTCAATGGACAGTTTTTGAGCTGGAATGATGAGAGTTTGGGAGCTTTTCAGCAGGATTAGATGCGTGACTTCTCGTTAGTTACATAGTCGTCACACTTAATCCGCCTCATATTCCAAACTAAACTCATGTTCAACCAACTCATCCGAATAAAACGCATCTTCATCCAACTCATCCTCATCCGAATGATCTGATGTCCACTCATCTTCCTCTTCCTCTTCGTCCTCATACCGATACTGCCTAGTCCAAGCCGGAAAAACTTGCCAGGTTGCTCCCTCGAGAAACTCCAGCATCTTCCCTTTCCACTCCGACTCTGGAGTCCACACTTTAACAATCTCTTCAAGATCATAATCGCACCGGACCGGCGGTCGATACCAGTCTGACTCGGTGTGACTGAATGATACACGGACATCCGCTCCTTCAGCCCGGAAAGCATGGTAAAAAGGGACAAGAACGGGGAATAGCTGTTCCCATTGCTTGAGGCGGATTTGGAACTGCATGAACGTGATACGAAGTCTAAAGTCTTTCTTGCGGGATATAGCGTCAAAAATGTGGGTGAATTGCTTACTCAATCCATCTGGATCGATGGTCGCTGGTTTATGCCTTATGGGGAGCTCTTGTGTAAGGTGTAGATCTAGGGCTCGAAGATGATCTGCAGGTCGTAAACCGAGTTTGAATACATCATCGTTGAGCAGCGCGTACAGCGTGTCCAGCTGCAAGCTTTCCGTACATCTGATCACGAAAGCGTTCTTGCGGTGGACGGAGGCGGGGTAGTACGCGGCCAGGGCTTCTACGGCCGTAGCCGGGTCAACGTATGCGGGATTGATGACATGGGGCGGCTTGTCACGACGCCATGTCAGATGAGCTGGAGGTTTTGTCCAGATAAAATAACCCTTCTCTGCATCGGGAACCATGTAACCTGTCGCTAGATCGAGGTACTCGTCGTCCCAGACGTGGGCGTATATTAATTCACGCAGTTCGCGTGGCAAGTGGGCTTGCATCTTTGTAGCGAGTTATAGACATGATACCTGCGCATAGGACTGAGCGGCTTGGTCGAATGGACTGCAGCCGCCCGATTAGTACGTTAATAAGAATTAGATAGATTGTTGAGATCGCATACCCTCCTGTGATTAAATCATGGGTGCGCATTGCTTTCTTTTTATACAGACCTATTATCTTTTTGGCGTATGACAAGACTGCATCCCTGTCGAAGCGTCAGGCTTCAAGTTTCCATCATTTGAGCAAACAGACAACTCACTGTCCAGGAACGAACGGACAAATCCCTTTATTCTTGCCCTTTCTCCCCTCTTCTCTCATCATCAGAGCTCTGTACTTCTTCATGTCGTCTCCCGTCATCTCGTCGATTTTCAGATCGCAGAGCGCCTGGAGATAGCCTTCTATCATCTCGTAACGCATGACTTGCTCGGATAAACGCCTCTCTGCGGCGGCAAGTTCTATCTGAAGGTCGGCCTCGCGTCGCTGAAGGAAACCTTGTCGATGTGTAGTCATGACGTCGGCTACGTGGTTGTAACTTTTCCTCGTGCAAAACACCGAAGTTTGAGTTGTGACACCTGAGAAGCTGAAACGCTAGTCTTAAAAGGGTGAGGTTCCGCTGCTAGTACACCAAAGAACTCGGGAGCGTATTTCCAAAGGTAATTACACAAACGCCCAATCCCAGAGGTGCAGCATCGCCCGGGGTGGTTGTTTTGATAACGGGACCTCGCAAAAGATGCTCTTTTGACCGCGGCATCGGGGCATATGCGGTGGCATCAGCCGCATGATAGTCAGCACTAGCTCGCTGGCTAGTTCCAAGGTTATGCCGAGGCGCATTATCTTGCAGACGTAATCAATCTGAACCATGTACTCTGCAGATAGGGAAAGATCATGGGCGTTGAATGAGAACAGAGAAAGATGCATCATAATTAACTACGTAAAATGGTTCCTCATAGCTTCGACTTGGACACGATCATGGAGTTGCCAATGTTCAACCACTTGACGGCATCTGTGACAAGCTCATCAACAATCTCCCTCGCGTTCTTCCTCTCGTTAACAACAGCAGCGACCTTACCCATCAGGAACGGCCGCGCGTTGTCCATAGTCTCGTCGTCGAGGTCGTCGCCCATCTTCTCGAGATCATGCTCGACAGGCAATATGCCCTTGGCAGTAAGATCCTTGATCTCTTGTTGCCTGTTCTCCTCCCAGTTCTGGACGTATGGGTTGGTGCGGATGCGGAGTGGGCGTCCGGTGAAGATGATGGTGCGGATGTTGTCGTCCCAGCCAGCTGTGCGGACGGCTTCTTGGTGGGCCTTGGGTGCACCGGCTTCCTCGGAGAGAACGAAGCGTGTTCCGACCCAGACACCGGTGGCACCGAATGTGAGCATCGCAGCGAGCGACTGGCCGTTGTAGATACCGCCGGCAGCTACAATTTGTACCTGCTCGCCGGTCAAAGGCGACTTGTGGCCCTCGACCATCTTGACCGCTGCTGGGATGAAGATGGATGTGGGAACGTCTCCGGTGTGTCCTCCGCCCTCGCCTCCTTGTGCGCAGATGATGTCGACGCCGATGTCGAGGCACTTCTTGATGTGCTTGGGGTGGCCGATCATGTTCATGTAGAGGATTCCGTGCTTGTGTAGCTTCTCTACGACGGCCTTGGGTGGGACACCGACGGCGGAGACGAATAGTTTGGCGCCGGAGTCAATGATGATGTCGACGAGCTCGTTCAGCTTGCCCTTGGTGTAGTCGTAGCTATATGCCGTTAGTCGCGTGCCTTCTGGCATGTGATGGATCGCCCAGTACGTACTTGGTCTTGCGCGCGCTGCCTCCAACCTGGGGAAGGAGCAGGTCGATGCCGAATGGCGCGTTCTTGTCGTTCAGGTATCCCTTCAACTCGGCGATCTGCTCGCGGAGCATGTCGGGTGTGTATCCGACACCTCCGATGACACCGAGACCTCCAGCGTTGGTGACGGCGGCGGCGAGCTTAGGTCCAGCAGCCACGTTCATGCCCGCAAGCATGACGGGGTGCTGGATCTTCAGCAGGTCGGTAAGCTTGGTGCGGATTTGCTCTGAGGTTTGTCAGCTGGGCACATGTGAATGAGGCGTGGATGCGTACGTGGAGAAGCCATGACGACGGTATGGAGGGTTGCGGTTGAGAAAGGGAAGATGCGAGGTATTTCAACAGCAAGGAAGGAAGACGAGTGGATCGAGGATTCGGGCGAATTCTTAAGGTTTGAGGAGTCGGGCCCTTTCTTATGGTTGAGGAGTCCTGGTCGACTCTCTGTAAGCCGTGAGCCGAGGCACGACGCATGTCTCACGCGGAGAGCGCTAACCACTTACCGTCTAGTGCCGTCTGGGGAAGGCTGTCGGCATCGCGCGCCTGCCTCTGTCTGTCCCACCGCGTCACATGCTAACATGTTCACTAATGCATCCAAATGTTTAGCCACGCTCAGGGCCGCCTCCTCACGGTATCCACGCCATGCCGCGCTCACAATTAGTACCATCAACAGCAAGGTCTCTAATCGATCGAATTTTCACTCGTCACCCACTCAACGCCAGGAATGTGATACACCCTCCGACTCTCGCGTTCCGCGCGAGCTTCCATCGCAAGATGTGCGGAAAGTTTTTACTGGTAAGCCTGGCTACCGTAAGAAGGAACTTGCCGTCGTTGCTTTGGGGAGCAACATGGGCGACAGAGTGGCCATGATTGAACGTGCATGCAGAGAGATGGAGTCAAGTGGAAAAATAAAGATCGTACGAACCAGTAGTTTATGGGAGAGCAAAGCCATGTACGTACTCGATCAGGACAACTTCGTCAATGGTGCCTGTCAGGTATGCTAAATAATGTCCCTTCTTTCAAACGTCAAATTTACGCAAACAGATAGAAACTAGTCTGTCACCAATCGAACTCTTAGACGCGCTTCAGAAAGTTGAGAATGACATGGGCCGCGTCAAAGTCATCGACAAAGGACCCAGAAATATTGATTTGGACATTTTACTTCATGGAAACGAGAAAAGTTCCAGCGAAAGACTTACGATCCCGCATGCGTTGATGTTCGAGAGGCAGTTCGTTCTACGCCCTCTTGTTGAGTAAGATAATCATCTATCTGGCCAGTGAAACGGTGCTGATCCTCTCTAGACTTTTGCGCAATCAGCGTGAAGATTACCCATTCTCGAATCAAATTAAACGCCATTTCAAAAGACTCCTTAAATCAGAGGTGCCGCTGGTGCCGCTGACGCCACTTGGACCAGATCTATCCCCAATATCGTCTTCTCGGATAGCGGATAACACAAGGATCATGTCTATCCTAAATGTCACACCAGACTCATTCTCAGATGGCGGCCAAAATTACAATATCGATGAAGCAACCCTAGCGAACACCATTCGCGAACACATCTCGGCCGGAGCCACCATCATCGACGTAGGCGGACAGTCAACACGACCCGGTGCTGTCCAGGTCTCCGCCGACGAAGAGCTAGCACGTGTCATCCCAGCTGTAAAGCTGATCCGCTCAATGCCAGAGGCAAACAACATCGCAATCAGCGTTGACACATACCGCGGCAGCGTCGCCGAAGCCGCCATTAACGCCGGCGCAAACATGATCAACGACGTCAGTGCAGGTGCCATGGACGACACGATGCTTTCCACCATGGGAAAACTTGGCTGTACAGTCTGTCTCATGCACATGCGCGGCACGCCGGAAACCATGACCAGCCCTGAAATGACATCCTACCCCAACGGCATCATAGAGACAGTAGGCCGCGAACTCGTCGAGCGCGTTATTGCTGCGGAACATGCGGGTGTCAGGCGCTGGCGTATCGTTCTCGATCCTGGTATTGGCTTTGCGAAGACAAAGGAACATAATCTTGAACTACTTCGCCGACAGGATGAGTTGATGAGGTATCCGGGTCTAGAAGGCATTCCTTGGCTTGTGGGCACGAGTCGGAAGAAGTTTATCGGCGATATTACTGGGGTCAAGCAAGCGAAAGATAGGGTCTGGGGGACTGCTGTTGGGGTGGCAGCGGCTATCAAGGGTGGTGCGCAGATTTTGAGGGTCCATGATGTTAAGGAGATGGCGCAGGTTGCGAAGATGGCGGATGCGTTGTGGCGCCCGTGAACATGACGCGGCGCGACAGTCTTCCAACGATCTTCGCTCTCGCCCTCATTTAGTGGGAGGTTTCAGGCGTCATCCGTGTTGTTGGTTCCACTCCACGCGGTAGCGCTCCGGTTGGTTCCGAGTCCTTCATGAACGTGGTTGTCGACTCGCTTCCACAAAGCCTGAACCAAACGAAGAATACGTGGAAGGAAAACCTGTAACCTCGAACAACATCCTACTTCTTTTTACCCTCAACATCAAACATGGCGAATCTTCGTGAGCTCCATCAAGAACTACGACGCGTACAGGACCGAGTCTTTCAGTAGGTGGTTGTCGTACTAAGTCGCTGCCCGTTTTGACTAATTCGCACAGGATCAAACGTCGTCAGAACGAGTAAGCACGTTCACACTAGATGCTGTCAAAGACTTCGAAGAAGCTAATGGTAGACTCAAGTGAACTATGGATGGCAAGTAGCTACTCTTGGAGTCACGATGATTGGAACGAGTGGAAAGCGTGAGTTTTTACGATTCCGAGAAGATGCAGCTCCACGGTGAGCAATAGCTTACAGACACAGTCTGAACGAAGAACTGGAAGCATCGTACGAGTCACACTCAAAAGCCTGGAACAAACTTTACTATGCTAGAATGCACGACCGGCTACCGCGCGAGATCCGAGATATGATCAATGCCGAATTCTGGGATGAAGACTACTTGACAGGCGGAGGACGCGGCGGAGAAGGCTATGAGGTAGCCATGAAGGCTAACGAGGAACCCACACTTGGCCATATATCGTTACCTCATCGTCTCCTGCGCATCTCACACGTCGTCCTACCAGGGTACGTAGGAGATGCAGCTGCAAAAGAGAACGTCCAGATGTGGTACGAGGCCTACGGAGCCATGACCTGCTACCGCGACTGGCTCGCACTCGGCAGGCGCAATATAGGTGAAGAGCTCACGAGAGCTATATGCAAAGACACATTCGGGGTGGGCTTGGATCCTGCCACTGCTCTCCGAAAATTGACCATCGAAGTCTCCGACACCTCTCTCGTGCTAGGCCACGAGCACTCCGACTTCAAAGATGCTACCTCACGTCAAGACGCATTCAACCTGCTTCATCGCATCAAGAAGAAGAGAGGGTTCAAGCTCGAGATCAATGTTCGCCACGATTGCATCCGTCTCAAGATGTGGCCCGAAATCCTTGGCCTCCTGCAACCCATCGTTAAGGTATTTGAGCAGGAAGGAGCCCACGTTAGTGTTTTGTCTAGTTATGATCCTCACCGCAAGAATTGCATTGATGAGGGCCCGGGTGTTGGCACCGATATGGAACACCTGATCAGGACATACGATCCGGCGACTTGGGAGCAGAGTGTGAAGCAGGAAATGATCGATTATTTCGAGGGGGTAAGACGCTCGCAACTCATCTATGTGGCAATGCCTGACAAGTGATTTAGATCGATGATGAGTATCTCAGACCGTACCACCGCTACTATCGGAGCGAAGAAGACAATCCTGGCTCTGATCCTGATGTTGCTGCCTGGAAACGTTATGTTGGGCCCTCTGGTGTGCGCGGAACGGGAGGATGACTAAGCTCGTTTGAGGGGAAAGATGGTAGCTGTCACTACGCGGATGCATGCCAATCTAAGATTCTAGAACCACGAACAAAAATGAAAAGATTCGTACACGAGGCGTTCAATAACCGTGAGGCCACCCGTGAAGTACGTGTAAGTGGGGCAAACCGCGAATCTAGCGCGACTTCGCCTTACGAACATGATGATAATCTACACTTCAAGACCTCCGAAGAAGAGTAAACGCTTTTGACTCGGACTGCCATCTTATCTTCTTTCGCGCGATACCACCGCCATGAAAAGTTCACACGACTTGGAACAAGATGTGCGCGACACGTGTAATAGACTGTTCATGTTTGTATCTCCATTCTCATACACTGCTGCCTGGACTGCAGAGAAACTGACCTGTCTGAGTAGCCTGAAACGCGGAAAAGCTGCTGCAGAGAAGAGGGAGCGTACAGCAGCAAAACATGAGTGGCTATCAGCAGCGGAGAAGAAGACGGAAGTGCAGGCGTAAGTGACCACCAGCTCTACCCAATTTTGTTCATCGCTGACGCTGCCTTGTACATAGCGAGCTCGACGCATCCTGTGAGCAGTTATCAAAAGCTTGGAACATGCTATGCTCTGCTAGGATGCAAGAGCTACTGCCTATCGAAATTCGCGAGATGGTATATGCACAGATCTGGGATACGGAGTATCTCAACTCCATAAGACAGCCAAGGCAGCAGTCCGGGCCTCCTGGCCACTCCGATCCGAGGTGCCATACACATGTCGTTCGGCCCGACTTCATGGGCAAAGAGACAGCACTGGAGATAGTGCAGGCATGGTATGAAGCAGCATCTACACTCACACCAGACACTTTCATAATCCCCGATACCCGGGAGTCGATCAAACAAACCATATGCGAAGACCTGTTTCAAGTCGGCCTAAATCCAGCAACAGTCCTCCGAACTCTCACCATCAATTTCGACGAGACTACGTCTAGGCTCGCTAGTCCGTATTGCAAGTGGTCAGACGCAGATACACGGCGGAGAACTTTCGATCTTCTCCACCGGATCAAGAAGAAGGCCGGTTTTCGACTCAACTTTCGTATATGCACTCCTAAGTTCCGATTAAACTGTTGGTCTGACTTCTTCGATCTTTTGCAACCCATAGTCAAGACTTTCGACGACGAGGGAGCTATCGTCGACGTCCAGGCTATTCATTGTAGTCGGGGCCCTCATCCGATGCCGTATGTCTATGTGGACCTCAACAAAATGGTCAGAGGCTATGATCCAAACACATGGAAGCAGGGCGTAATCGAATATCTGGACTCGGTAATACTGGCCCTCTCATTCCGAGTCCATCTCATCTTCATGCAAGTACGGCGCTGACAAGCAGAGTAGATTTGTGACTGTCGCATTAGGAATCAGGACAGACATTATCGAGGGGAGGACGAGCCGGATTACAATCCAGACGATGGGCAGGAGGATTATTGGAACTGGGATTTGCTCGAAGACACAGGCTTACGACCTTCTGATTTTGATAGAGGGTTGTCGAGACAGAATTGTGGTTGCGATGGCTCCGGGAGACGCAGGTCGTTTAAGTCTGGCTTGTAAAGGGTACGCGATGTTGGAGCTGTCATAAAAGTTGTAGGCTGCAGGGAAGTCCTAGAAAGGAAGGCGGGGACGGAAACGTTAATGGATGGATGCGGAGTCTTCTTCGGTATTTGCAGCTCGCTGCGCTCTCGCGTTAGCGCGAAAGTTAGAAATAAGCTAATAGAGGGTAGACCTAACTGCGCTACAATAAAGTAGCTAAATTAAAATTTAGAAAGGTAGATTTCTTTGCAGATATATAGAGTATACTTCTATTTTTTTCAAAAAAATTATTCACTAAGTTATAGCGTGATGCAACATTATTGTTAGAAATCTCGCATCTAACTTTCGCGCTGACGCGAGACGCTGCGCTTCAGGGTTGTTGCTGAGACAAAGGATCGGAATATTCTGAGGTTGCGGCTGTGCCGCATGCCCGCAGTTGACAAACATACAATAATCCCAACCCTTAACTTCTTGACCTCCCCCCAAGGGCCATACGTCTCACATCCCCCACGCTTCCCACAGTGTGAGCCTGTCGCCATATACAACCGCAACTATGGATACAAATCTGGAATCAGCGCTGGACTGTCTGCGCGAGTGAGTATAGACGAACTATTTCGCCCCACTTCGCTCTTGTGCTAACAAGCTGGCAGCATCAAGCGGAAGGACCTCCATGCTCAAAAAGAGTACGTCGTATCCAGAACTTTTTCAATCTTCAGGAGCTGTACTGAACAGTCACCAGACTTGACTCAGTTCAAAAGGAAATCGCAGCTGCCAGAGAAAGGCTTAGGGAACTGAAGCAGCAACGCAAAGATATCGCAACAGAGAAGACTCATGCGCTTATCCAGTGAGTGCATGGCATCTGGAAATCTGACATTAATTCCAGTCTAACCAGTCAGGTCTTTTCCGTCAGCCCTTCGACGCTACTCTGCAGGCTCGAGCCTTCCAATCTTCGACCTGCTTCAACAACGCCTACCTCGTGAGCTTCGAGATATGGTTCGTGCGCACATCTAGGACAAGAAAACTTTGGTCGATACAAGCATTACTATGACATCCATCATGAGAGATGGTTGCAGTGCTGAGCCGGAAGAATGCCAGGACGCCATGATTTGCGACTCGAAAGCGATTAAAGGCTGCACGCATGGCCAAGTACCATATTTCGTAAAACCAGCTTTCACCGGACAAGAATCTGCACGGGAAATGATCGAGGCTTGGTATAGTCGCATACATGGTGCCAATCCCAATATCGCGATGGGAGTACCTCTGGATCATGTTCCGTCCATTCTTCAGCATGATAGATTCCATGTTGGCCTGAAGCCTGCAGCAGTTCTGCGGAAGTTGGCTGTTATTATTCGCGCTGATGAACTGATTGCAGACCTTGAGCATGACTCGGAGAAGGAGAAGCTTTATGGGATGTTTTTCAAATCGCTTCTTTCCATTGAGAAGAGATTGGGCTTCGTACTGACACTTCGGGTGCAACAAAAACATGTCAGGCTCAACGTTTGGCAGCGGATTCTCAACATGTGCAGGGATGTGGTTACCATCTTTGAGAAGGAGGGGGCTCGTGTGCGGATTCAGTTCGTATACAATTGCGAGGAGCCACTGCGAGTACCCAAGTATGATATGTACCTTGCTCTGAAATATCCCGAATCCGATTGGCGACAAGATGCAATACGCTTCTTTGACACGGTAAGACCTTCACATTATTCAGACCCTATTCCCTAGATCTCACGATTCGTATGATCAGGCTACACGAATAAAGAACGAACACCGAGCTTATCGTATCGAGAACAACGACGACTATGAACCCCCGTCGTATCAGTATGATTCCGAGCTCGGTTACGATTCGGATGCGGACATCTATAGCAATTATGGCAAGAGCGACGACAGTGTCGATGAGTTCTGTCGAGATCGTCATATATATTATCGAGAGTATTATGGGTGGGATTCGGAGCGTCAGTACGGAAGTGATTTCATAAGTTGGAAGAATGACCTGCTGAACCATCTTGAACTGGAAACAAGTAAAGATTGGGACTATACCGACGAATCTCCGAGTCCGCCCAGGTGGGAGGACGTCTACCCCGAGCCCGAGTTACGTGGACCTCCTGGTTACGATCCACAGTCGGAGTAAGGTTGAGAAGATCAAATGGCATCACGTGATTAGTCGTCTTACCTAGGACCACTTTCGTTACTGTTTAGCTCCTTGTCATTACAATACAAACTATGTTACACACATCTTTCGCAATGATCAGACGCTCGGGCATACTAATAGATACTTCGTCGGATGGGTAATATACTGCAGCCATCTTGAGGGGGCAGGGATTCGGGTCTTCCTGAGGTCGGAATGCTAGTCGTCCCGATGCCACTAAAGCGCGAGCGCCTATCCACCGTGCCACCTCATATTCCTAGCGACAAGAGTTCAACCACCAATGTTCAACCGCATTGATCGCGCCATCCAAAGGCAGTCATGGAGAAAGCAACTACTGTCGATGCGAAGGAATTGGAGCAGTTTGCATTGCAGCGGCTTCGCGCGTAAGTCTTTCGGCGCTGTCAACAACACCTCATGGATCAATTCTAATCTAGTTGCAGGATCAAAGCTATGGAATTCGACGCGAAAGATGAGTACGCACAGCTCCTAGAGTCGCAACGACGGACCCTGTGTTAAACCGTTCTAGAATCCGTAAAGCCGACCAGGACATCCAAACGGTGAGGGAGCAGATGAGGGAGCAGATCAAAGCTTTGGAAAGGAAAAAGGAAAGAACGCGACAGCACAAGAGAGATGTCCGGCGCGAGTAAGTCCTGATATTCATGAATGCGAACAAAGACCTCATACAAGAGCCCAACACAGACACCTTCCCTCAGCTCTCTCCGCGTACACCGCATCATGGAGTAAACCCCTCTTCGAGCAAATGCAGCAACGTCTGCCTCGTGAAATTCGCGACATTGTATACGCATACATCTGGACCGACAAGACATTGAAAGAGGCTGCTTTGCAAGATTTTGCAAAGCGCGGATGCTTCCGTCGCGCCAAAGATTGCGACATGTTAGTAACAACGCATCACTCGGCAAAGACGAACAGCTGCTATCAGCATGGCCGAGTTCCGTACTTCATGAGGCCTGGATTCGTCGGAGATAAATCAGCCCGAGAGATCGTCGAATCGTGGTACAAATCGATATCAAGAGTAGAACCCGACGTATGGGTACTAGTGACCATACGCGAACTCGAATGCATCATCCTTGGTGACGCCTTCTCTGTCGGTCTGGATGTCACGACCGTTGTTCGCGAGCTGACGCTCAAGCTGTTGACTGACAGAGTCCTGGAGAACAAAGATGACGAAACCAGCGAATCGAAACGAACGATCAACGCGCTGCTCCAAATAAAGAACAAGGCAAATTTCAAATTAACACTGCGATTAGAACAGTTATTCCTCCAATTCAACTGCTGGCCTACTATCTTCGACATCCTCCGACCCATGATCGAAACGTTTGAGAAAGAAGGCGCGCATGTAAAACTCCTTCTCGTCTACGCCCAAAAACTGAAACCGAAGATGGAGTTTAATATGCTTCCCGCATTGAAGGATCCCGAATACGATTGGAGAGGAGAAGCTGCCCGTTACTTCGACAGCGTAAGCACACCAACTCTGCAGCGCTCGCTGCCTCACACGTAGTAACCCACAAGATAGGACTACCGCGTACGCGATCACCACAAACACTACCGCATCGAAAACGACGCAGACTATGAGCCGGAGAGACTAAAGGACATGTATCACAGCGACGATGCCTGGCAGTCAGAGGATGAACTAGATCGTGTAGACTGGGATTACTGGAACGACAGCTGGGACGGAGTAAACGATGATGGCTCAACGTGGTCATATGTCAAGGAGAAACCTCGTTCGCCTTCTCCATCGCCGGAACGGTATTTTCGAACTGTGTTTAGACCGGAACAGATCGAAGGTTGGTCTGAGCTGGAAAGCGAAGGCGAGGAGGATGATAGCGAAGGTGAGGAGGATGATAGCGAAGGTGAGGAGGATGATAGCGAAGGTGAGGAGGATGATAGCGAAAGTGAGGAGGATGAATATTTTTACTAGAAGGTGGGAGCTCGTCCATCTGTCAAAACGAATAGCATTCTTTGTAAAGCTGTGATGTCTCTGCCAGAGCTTCGTCCACTACAGGTATATCCCTCTTGGAAGACATTAAGACATGGACATTACCTTGCCCGATTGTGACTAGCAGGCCAGAGCCTGCTCAAATCCGAGAGATTTCCCTCCATGTTACAGGTCACCCTGTAGATTCAGTACGTTACAAAGGGATTACACATTATTGTACAGGCTACACGGGCTTCTGCAAGCCTCTCTATAATCGGACGTCTGCGAATACTAATAGATACAACATTTTAGGGATAATATATGTCAGCTAGTGAAGTAGCGCAGAGTTTCCCTACGTCATGGCGTCGGGACAGCTAGTGTTCCGAAGCCACTAGAGGGCCTTTCCACTTCATGTATCCAGCCACCGTACGTCAGCTTTTACTTTGTGCTCATCCTGGTCGCGATCCGATATTAATTATGGTAACTTCAAAAGCTGATGATGATGACCTAGAATGGTCCATAAGACTGCAACTCCGCACGTGAGTTCGACGCCCTGTCTGCATGAACATCCTTTGCTGCACTATCCTAATCTCCTTGCAGTATCCGATACAATGACCCCGATGCAGATATGGAGTACGTCGCATTGTCACAAGGTCAAACGCACGTTACTTGCTAAAGGACCTACAGTCATTCCCCATTTACACCGAAGATTAGGGCGTTGGAAGAACAACTCAGCCCGCTGGTGCACCGCCGGTGGGAAGACGAGAAGTTACGTAAGAAGTAAGCTCTGCAAGTTCCCTATATCACACCATGCGTCTGACACGGCGTCTGCCAAACAGGTACCGTCCCTCAGCGATATGCCGTGCCAGCGCAACATGGAACCTGCGCTTCTGCGAAGAGATGCAAGCGCGCCTACCCCTGGAACTGCGCAACATGGTGTACAAGCACATATGGGACTTTAATACGACCTTTGAAACCTACAATGGACTAGTGCTTCTCGCTCAACGCCGTTGCCAGGGCTTCTGTGTAGGTAAAGAAGAAGAATGCCAATGGCTAGCCTCTACATCCGAACCCGGAACAAAGAGCAGCTGTCGTTCACATCGCAACACGCCTTTCTTTATGAGACCCGGATATGTGGGCCAGGAAACAGCCCGGGAGGTCGTAGAGGCTTGGTACTTGCATGGTGGCCCAAGACGTGGAATCGTGTCTCTCTTGCCACGGTCGAGTACATGACACGCACCGACGCTTTCTTCGTTGGCCTAAACCCCTCAACCATTCTCCGTACTCTCAGCCTTGAGGTTTACATCGACTTCCTTTTCATGACATACGAACGCAACGGACCGTCAGACCAAGCATGCATCGACTCGCTCCTCCGGATCAAGAAAAAAGCCGATTTCAAATTAAGTTTCACCCTCAAGCAGAAATACATCAGCTTCCACTACTGGTCTTTAGCCTTCGACATGCTCAGGCACGTAGTGGATGTGTTTGAGAAAGAGGGCGCAACTGTCCAAGTCACTTTTGTTTACCTTCACGACGGGCTCTATCCGAAGCTACAATGGAACATGCTGGAAGCATTAAAAAGCGGCAACGACGACTGGAAGGCGGGCGCAAAACGTGATTTGGAGAAGGACCGCCGGCTCAGAAAGAGACACAGGGTGTATGAAGCCGACACCCTGGCTGAAGATTCGGATTACGACGAACTGGATTATCGTTCTGATGATGATAATAGTAAAAGACCGTACTATGGACCACACAGCGATGACGGTGGCGAGTCCCCCTCAGAAATGGACTATAATGCGGAGAATATGTACAGAACGTATTTCGAGCCACGAGACTTTGAGCCTCCTCCTCCTCCTCCCAAAATACGCCGGCCGGCGTGGGAAGAACATCTACTGTTGAACGAATAAGGCCCGGTGCAAAGACGGTGGTGATGGTTGGGCATAGGAAGTTGAACACACAGTTGGGAAGATGAACTTATAACATAAACACTACATATATACAACAAGGCATCAACACCCGTCAGCACCTATAAACCTCCCTCTCTTACACTCCTTCACATCTACAACTTACTCCCACCTCCCATAAGTTCCGCACCAGCCCCACTAATAGCCAGCTTACCCGTCTCCTTAACCTTAGTCTGGAACAGCACGGTATTACCAACCTTCCACATCTCGGTAATCAGTGTCTGACCAGGCAGCACAACACCCGCAAACCTAACCTTGATGTTCTTAAACGGACCATACGTCTGCAGAACATGTTTACCGGAGATACCAAAGCTGCACAGGCCGTGCAGAATGGGTGTGGGGAAGCCGCCAGCTTTGCTGAATTGGGGGTCGATGTGTAGGGGGTTGAGGTCGCCGGAGAGACGGTAGATAGCAGCTTGCTCCTCGGTTGTGCGTTCCTCGACGACGGTGTCGGGGGCGCGCTCCGGTGCCTTGTGGATCTTCGTTGCGGCGCCGCGGTCAGCACCCTTCTTCTGGCCGCCGAAGTTGCCAGAGCCGCGGATGAAGACTGTGCTTTCGTTGTAGAAGATCTCCTCGCCTGTCTTCGCGTCCTTGGTTACGCTTCCGTATACGACGAGCCCTGCGGCGCCCTTGTCTACGACCTCGACTAGCTTGGGTACGGCGACGAGCTTGGCTTCGGTGGGGATGGGGAACTTTCGGATTTCGAGGAATTGCTCGCCGTGGAGGAGCATGCGCGGGTCGAAGTTGGGGACGATTTCGTCGAAGGAGAAGGGGGGTTCGGCGTTGAAGGGGGGGACGACACCGAAGGTGGGGATGACTTGGAAGTTCTCGTCGCCTTCGTAGACGAAGGGCAGGTCGGTGCGCTTGGCGCCGATTCCCAGGTCTGGAGATGGTGTTAGTTGTAGTTTATCTTGCGGAATGAAGCTGACTTACTGTAAAGTATGACATCCCTCTCGGTGTACTCGAAGGGTGTGCCTTCAGCCTTAGCGGCCAGGGCCTTCTTCTGAGCCTCGAGGACCTCCTCGTTGCTCTTCGTGGGCTTCTTCTCCTTCTTGCTCTTCTTGCTCGTGTTCTCCATGTTGGCCATGATAGACTTGAGACCGCTGGCGTTGTCGAAGGGGTGGTCGGCGCGGCCGTCGTCGAAGTTGGTAATGCGTTCCCATTGGGAGAGAACAGCCTCGGGAGTGAGCTTGACGTCCACGGGGAAGCCGTGTCCGCCAGAGCGTTGCCACCTGGTTGCCGCAAACCAACCAGAGCCCATCTCGTATAGGCCACCTGTTGGCTCGGGAGCCTTGTCGGAAACGAGGAGAATGACGAGAGGAGCGTTGTAATCGGGCTTGAGGGCCTGTACAACCTCTTCAGGGAAGATGCTGCGGGTCATCTGAGTGCCGGCGTTGGGAGCAACGGTGTTGACGAAGATGTTGTTCTTCTTGCCCTCAAGAGCGAGGGACTTGGAGAAACCGAGGATACCGCACTTGGCTGAGGCGTAGTTCGCCTGGCCAAAGTTGCCGTAGATACCGCTGGTAGAGGTGGTGTTGAGAATACGGCCGTACTTCTGCTTAAGCATGTAAGGCCAGGCAGCCTTGGTGCAGGAGTAGGTACCGAACAGGTGAACCTTGTGGATGATGTCCCACTGCTCGTCGGTCATGTTGGCAAACGCCTTGTCGCGCAAGATACCAGCGTTGTTGATCAGGATGTCGATGCGGCCATACGTCTCAATGGCGGTCTTGACGACAGACTCGCCATCCTGAACATCGCCCTTGTTACCGACAGCCTCTCCACCGAGCTTCTGAATCTCCTGGACAGTGTTGTCGGGGTTTACCAAGTCGTTCACGACGACCTTGGCACCACGCTTCGCCAACTGCAAACAGTAGATGCGACCTAGACCCGCACCTCCACCAGTGACAAGAGCGACCTTGCCCTTGAAGTCAAGGGGCTCGCCCTTGGGGTTGGGTGGCAGCTGGTTGGCATGCTCGAGGAGCTCAAGCGCGTTCGCCGGGCCTTGTGGGTGTTCGGCCTTGGAGAAGTCGACAATGTCCTTCCACTTGGCTGGAACAGCTTCGGGTGTGAGGGTCTCGTCGGCCTTGAACAGAGCACCAGATGCTCGCTCCCATCGTAGCTTGGCGACGTGACCCGCGCCCGCCTCGAAGATAGCGCCAGTCTCGGTGGACGACTTGTGTGTAAGGACAGCGACGAGCGGGACAATCCACTCAGGCTTCATCTTCTCCAAAACATCCGGAGGCATGACGGTTTCGGTCATTCGGCTGGCGGCGATCGGGGCGACGACGTTGCAGAGGATGTTGTACTTCAAGCCCTCCTTTGCGAGTGTCTCGGTGAAACCGACAAGAGCGAGCTTGGCAGCTGTGGAAGTTAGCAGACATTCATCTCTTCGCAAACCGCATGTGCATACCAGAGTAGTTTGTCTGTCCGAAAGATCCGAACAGACCGGCAGCAGACGCAGTGCTGATCGCCCTTCCGTACTTCTGTTTCCTGAAGTATGGCCACGCAGCATGCGCGCACTTGTATGCTCCAAGGACGTGGACCCGGTAGATCAGATCCCAGTCTGCCTGCTTCATGTTCTTGAAGCTGACATCGCGCAAGATACCCGCATTGTTGATGAGGATGTCAATGCGACCGAATGTGTCGATAGCAGTCTTGATGATGGACTCTCCGTTCTCGACCGAATCGTAGTTGGCGACCGCCTTTCCGCCAGCGGAGCGGATGGTGTCAACGACCTTGTCTGCGGCCTGTCGGGTGAATTAGCTATGAAGGAGGATCTTTTGCTGGGATGACATACCGCTGAGCCCGCGCCCTCGCCCTTGAAGCTGCCACCCAAGTCGTTCACAACGACGTTCGCGCCGCGACTGCCGTAGAAGACAGCGTACTCGCGACCGAGACCACCACCCGCGCCCGTGACGACAACGGTCTGGCCGTCATATCGCAGCTCCTGCGCAGCCATGATGTGTTTTCTGTGCTGTTCGAAGAGGCTACCCCTTCGTTGTTTCGCGGAAAGAAGTTGCGCTTGAGGAATCTCCTATGCAAGCAAGCAACAAAGGTATTTGTAAAGTCAAATGGGTATCAGCAAAGATCCCACGGTAGAAAGGTGCAAGATTTGGAAAGTGTGAGGATGAGAGGATAGGTGGCTGGATGCGTGGAGGATGGCTCAAAAGTAAGGTCGTTCGCGATCTGACCCGGTCGTGTCTCATGAGAGCAGCCGAGCTGTTGATGATGACGAGTTACCTCGGTCCCGACGGCAGTTGGTCATGTGTGGGGATTGCGCACCGTGCACCTCACGCTTTCACATGTCCGCGTCTTGCTCCCCATCATCAGCTGGACGAGTCCGGGGTATCATATGATAGTGATTAGAATGTGCGCAATCTCACACTCGCATATTCAGAGCGTGCAGTCTTGGCTGGAGAAGTTCGATGAGATGATGATTCTTGAGCGGATGTGGGGCTGCGAAATGCGCCGCGTGAGGCCCGAACACGTATCGTACGCGTCCTAGATATCGCGATATCGTGGTGTATTGGAAACGGAACAGATGCGATGGGGGATGTGTCTTTCCATCACAGCTGTACCATGCACTGCAAGTGACGGTTTCTTCGTCTTGGTTATGTCACCAGAAGATGGGCGTCCTACCCGAACAATACACCGAATAACCCACTAGCAACAGTAGTATGTCCAGTACAGAGGAGTTCGTAGACCTCTTCGTGCTGCGTGATGGCATTCTGATTGACTTCAACCTACTAAGCATTGCTGAATCAGATAATATAGAGCCTGCTGTTAAAATTTGGTCTTATTTTAGGCTTGCTGTCCAAGCGCAGCAAGCCCGCGAAGTCAAATACCCACACGCCAGGCCCAAACCTTATCACCCGACTAAGCACAGTCGACATCATCGATCCTTTGCAAACACGATTCTCCTCCGGGATCATTGCAACCCACTCAACATCTGCACTATGCCGAAGGCAACGCGGATCCAGACCCTCGTCGTCACCGCTTGTCACCGGCCATTTGCTCGCTCGCTCGAAGTCAAGGCCGAGGGACTCCACAGCGCTTTCGTAGATGAGCGTCCTGGGCACCATTCTTGCTACGCTGGCTCCCATCATGCGCGGTTCGGCCCGTTGACGGACTTGACCGCTGTAAGTATTCGCGTACCTACCTTACCGAGCGTTGAGATCTTCTGGAGTGCACCTATTACATGCCGTGTTTTATTACTATCATTGAGTAGAGGTGTAAGGCGTCGAATTAGCGGAGTCAAAGACTTGTAGACACTGAGCAGGGGATTGTGCGCCGGACGCTACCATGACCGACATCACACCGACTACCACATGACGGATATTGTATAGTGAGGCAGACGACAATATTCTGCTCAGTTTGTGGCCGGAAATAAATTTCGCATCTCTTTGAGTCGCCTTTTTCGGTCGACACAGGTGCTCAAGAGTTTCTCGTAGGAACAAGCCGCGAATTCTTCCGGTGTAGGTGAAATTGTTGAAAAGTTTCTGCTTGTGGTGCTTATATGATGCACTACTTTCTAATGCATCGGAGTCGATGACATAGCCGAATACGGAATGGGAAAAGCTCGCGAGGAGGCGTTATAGGAGTAGTAATCATCGTCGACATACCAGCCTCAAGAATCATATGGATGTAGATTTTCGATGTGCGATTGTGGGCACGAAAACCCCCACAGATGCTGGTGGGTGTAACCCGTGCGTCTCATCTTCCTTGCTTGATCCGGGTCGGATGAACTTTTCTCTTGTCACGAAACAAATGCCTGTTGATTTCTGGTCGGAATCGACATCTGAAGGCTACGTTTTTGCTAGAGCGCCTCTGCTATCAGCGTTATCCAGATTCTGGCGCCCCTGAGTGATCAAATGACAACGAGTGTCGCGTCAACAAACCGTATACATCTCGACAGGCCAAAAGTCGTGTGGGGGGCTTGGTCC